GCCTATTGAGTGCCAGTTGGACCGGAAGTTCGGTCAATGGGAGAAATGCAGCACTGAATACCTTCGAGAGAATCCTGTTTCGACCACATAAGCTCCGGAGGCCTAAGTTCGAGCCCCGTTCGCGCGATTCTGAGACCGGTCCCACAATCGGTACCTCCATCTCTACTCCTCAATCGGTCCGGTCACTTTGCTACATTTATGCATATTCACATTCGTTCGGTCAACTTGTTGTAACCTCGACATGTCATTACTGATTTCTATTAATTTAGTTTGCACACATACAAAGGCATTCGGACACAATCACACACAAACATGCATGATTCGTCTTCGAATTGATGCATTTCATCATATTCATATGCGTTCCAAACCTCTCCTTTAGCCTGACACACACACACACACACACATGCACACACATGTATGATCCGATCCAATAACTCCACGTCTATCTATCTACTTTCGCTAATTTAGTCGGCCAATCTTCTTGACATGCTACTACCTGGAAGGTTTGGTAGGAATCATATCCCGCTCCGAGCATGTCCTGTAGACCGCATTCAGCCGATGGTCGTGGCAAAACCACACGAACGCTGGCTCGAGCTCGAGAATGTTTGCCGAAATGAAAGTGGAAAAAACCAACAAACAATCACAAACTCTGCAAACAGAACGAGCCGGAAGATGGCGAATCGGACCGGCTGGCTCGGACGTACGTGTGGTCTCGGTGAGGCGGAGTCCGGGCGAAGCGCTGGCGGAGGTGAGTGTCTGCACCACGACCGTGTACCTCGTGCAGGCGTCGAGGCCGGCGACGGTGAACTCTTGCCTCGACTGGCCGTCGAGCACGACGGCCGCGTCGTCGCGGCGCGTCTCTTTGCTCAGCGTGAACTGGTAGCCCAACACGTCCGGCACGACGACGTAGGCGAACGTTAGACTCTCGTCTGTGGCCAGCTTCAGGTGCAGACCGGACACGTCCGGCGGAGCTGAGGAGGTGAAGGGAGAAGAGGCCGGTTGAAGGGTTGAGGGCGGGCGGATGCGATGTTCAGAAGGACCCTTTTCGTGTCTACGCGAGGTTGACGTGTTTCCACGAACTGGCCGAAACGGTATCTGCCAATCTCTTTGTCAACTGCCACTGTCCATTTCTGGCAATCCACTCGCGTAGAATCGCTAATCTTATGCAATGCTGGGCGAAAACTGTACAGAAATCTTTACACTATTTATTC